TGAGTTTTAAGCCCACTAGATAGTGGCAAAACCATCTTTTCTAAGCCCACCCGAGGGTGGCAAAATCTGCATTTCAAGCCTACTTATGAGTAGCAAACCGCTTTCAAAAATCAAAATGAAATTTTTTGTTCCAATTTAGGCGATCTAGTCTATACTTGTATGCTGTGCGCATCACATAGTAAATCTAGGCTAATAACCGGAATAAGAACGCATAATATTTTCAAAACTAGATATCATAGTTAGTAGAGGCCGATCTTTGATCGGGCGAGCGGGGGTGCTCACGAAGTGACCTTCCCCAATCGTACCCAAGTTCCCGAGCCGAAGCAACTTTGGTGATGACGGACACGTGGCCTTAGGCAACGAGTCAGGGTTTCCTAAATTCCCCCAAAATAAATATTTAGGTGGCGACTCTGTATTTGGTAAAGAAGTCCATGTTTGGCACTTCTTCTATTTTCCAAAACGATTTGCCCGATTTGGACTCTTTGATGAGTTATCGGTCTTGCATTACACTCTGCGAGATTAGATATAGGACCGTGACACAAATTGAGTCCGAACTGTAGTGAGGCCCGAGGGCGCGTCTACAGGGTTCTAGCGAAGTGTTGTTAACACATCTACAATTTGCCGATGATTCTATTTTGTTTTGCGAAGCTGAGGAATTGGAGGTGTGCAATATTAAGAGGGTCTTGAGGTGTTTTGAAGTGATCTCTGGGTTGAGAATAAACTATCATAAGAGTCTAGTGTGTGGGGTTAATGTCCCTGAAGAGTCTTTATCCGCATTTGCAGCAAGATTACATTGTCAACCCAAGGCTCTCCTTTTGAAGTACTTGGGGCTGTCTTTGGGAGCTAACCCAAATAAGAAGTCTACTTGGAAGCCTGTCCTTGATAAAGTCAGAAGCAGACTTGCAGGTTGGAAAAGGAAGCTGTTATCATTCTTAGGGAGGCTCACTCTGCTAAAATCTGTGTCCTCTGCGCTGCCTATGTTTTACCTATCCTTATTTAAAATACCTGTAGGGATAGCTAGAGAATTTGACAAGCTGCAGGCTAATTTTCTTTGGGGAGGGTCAGAATCAAGGAAACCAATTCACTTGGTTAAGTGGGATGATATAACAAAGAATGTGAAACAGGGGGGTTTAGGTGTCAGGCGAGTTAGGTTGGTTAATGATTGTATGCTACTAAAATGGTGGTAGAGATTTGGCTCCGAGAAAGATGCACTGTAGAGAAAAATAATCTGCAGCAAGTATAATTTGGATGTAAACAATTGGAGCCCCTATTCCTTCCCTAGCAGCAGGCCCTCTTGTGTTTGGAAAGGTATCATATCTATACTAGAGAGGAGAAATAGTCTGATGGTATTTTATCTCAATAATGTTCATATCAAGGTAGGAGATGGAAATAGAACATTCTTCTGGAAGGATAAATGGTGCAACAATTCTAGCTTGAAAGATGAATTTCCAACTCTTCACAGATTGGTTGTGAACAAGGAAGAAACCTTGAGATCAATATATGACAGGAGGGTACATTCAGGGGATTGGAATTTTCAATTCAGAAGAAGGCTATATGATTGGGAAGAGAGGGAAGTTAGTAGGCTCAATTTGCTCCTGGTTTCTGCATCTGCTCCTTGTTCTATTCTGGAGGACAAATTAGTCTAGTTGGCCGAAGGATCTGGGTCATTTTTTGTCTCCTCTGCATATAATAATGAAATTGACTCCCTTAGTCCCTCTCTCATTTCTTGTAAGTTTGCTTGGAACTCTTTTGCCCCTTCTAAGGTTCAATTCTTCTGTTGGTTAGCATGGAGAAACAGAATCAAGTCAGCTGAATTTCTTCAGAAAACTGGAGTGATACAAGTCAATGCTCCTGCTGCATGTGTTTTTTTTGTAAATCTGAGCCTGAATCTTCCACTCATCTCCTGCTGCATTGTTATTTTGCATGGAAGGTTTGGGCTGATATGATGGACTGGTGGGAGTTGAAGGGGGCTATTCCAGGTTCAGTAGAAGGTATACTTCATTGGTGGGATGGGGTGTCTTTGAACAGGAAAGAAAAATGGATATGGAAGGTCATTCCCTTAGCTGTCATATGGTCTCTATGGAAGCTTAGGAATGAGTGCATGTTCAAATCTGTCTCGCCTCAGTTAGTGGACCTGTGTGAGTTGATCAAAATAAGAGTGGCATTGTGGCTCAAACATAGATTCAAGGACTATCATTTCTCTGTTCAGGATTTCTTAACCAACCTGAGGCAAATAAGAATAAGTCTGGGGAGCAGATCTGCTTTGGGCAGCTGATTCTGGGTTGGAGTTGACTTGAGGCTGCTGTAATGGAGATGAACCTGCTGGGTTGATCCTGCTTTGGTGCAATGGAGATGAACCTGCTGTTCTGTGCTGATTAAAACTCGGGGCTGCTCTGTTCTGTGCTGATAAACTAGTATTGGAGGACCATTTAAACAGAATTGCAGTTTGCTTGGGGTTTTGACAGTTGGTGTCTCTGTGCTGGTGGGATGCTTCTGTCTAGAGCTGATCTCTGGGCTGCTTGGTTGATATCTTACCAACCTTATTTGCCTTGTTTGGTTTTTTGTGGGCTGTGCTGGGCTCCTTTTATTGTTGATTGTCAATGTCTTTTTGTTTGATAATTTTCAATAAAATTCCTTTTGGCTGTTTCAAAAAAATAAAATAAAATATTGTGATAAAAAAAAAATAGAAATTATAAAATGTCCTTATTAATGTAGGCATTTCCTACTCAGAGGCTTTTTGAAAGAAAATTGATTGGATTATCCTTTACCCTAATAAAAAGGCCCAAAATGAGAGTTTCATCAAAAATCCCAAAGAAAAATGTTTGACAACACTTAAAAATATTTCTGTTCATTTAACCCACAATAGTATATAAGGTCTAACTTTAGTATCATGTCATCATGGATAAATTTGAGAATTTAAATTATGAATTTTAAGCATTTTTGATAGAAAGCTTGTCTATAGTTTAGACTAGATTGTCTGATATGTTTATTTTTAGGTCTCTATATATAAATCACTCTCAAAAAAATCAAATTAATATGATAATTGTAACCACGTGATTGCATTTTATTTGCTTCAAAAAATCAAACTATATATTCACAAAATCATACTTGGTATTCAATTTTTTAAGATAAATAAAATGAAATCATATGATTAAGATTATCAAATAAATCTCCCTTTTTTTTTTCTTTTTTTTTTTCTATGAAAGATCTATACAGAAAGATCTAAAAGATGAACAAATTGGATTATAAAAATAAGCTCCATGATGACCCAACTGGACAGACTGGATAGGTATAATTTTCTTAATCACTTGAGACAAGTGAGCTCCATCGTTGAAATAGACTCATGGTGAGCCAAGAAACACAGATTGAATACGCTCCACCTTTTTTAATCGAGCAATATTATGTAAAACATTTTATAATTTGTTTTGGGTCTCTAACACTTTGTTTTATATTGGGTAAATTATAAACACACCTCCTGAAATTTACTTAAATTACAAATTACTCATGTGATTTTAGAAATTATATTATGCCTACTAAAGTTTCCAATTTCATAACAAATAGGTCTTTTTATTAATAAATTATCAAGTTGATTAACCGTTTTTAATATTGTTAAAGTTTTATTTCAATTAATAATTCATATAATTTTATTATTGTATAGGGAAACAGTTAGAAATTTCACTTTTTTAATTAATTCTGTTAAATAAAAAATTCTGACAGGAAAGTATTTGTAATTTTCCAAACTACAAAGAACAATTCGTATTTTAAGCAAACTTCAACGGATGTATTTGTAATTTACCCTTTTTGATTTTATGGGTCAAGGGATTTTATAAGAGTGGTCTACCAGATTGGGCTTGCTTCGTCCATCAAATTGAAACCGTCAAACTCATATAATTTTTCGGCCCAATAATACCCTCCTATTAAAAAACTTAGAAAATGAAAGGAAAAGTTGAATTCATTATTAAAAAAATTTGAAAAACTTGTACCTTATTTGATTAAAAATTTGGACTCAAAACTGAAGCGAATTCAACCACTATGTTCTACAGAAATGTTAAAATGATTAAATTTAAAAATTAAATTTTGAATACAATACATTTTTTTTTTCCAAAAGTTGGTGCCCATTGTTGCAAGTTCTAAGGCAAATATCATATCACACTGATGAACCAAACAAAGAAAAGTAATGTATTTAGGTAGAAATGGAACTTTACATTTTTGTCACAGCTATATATATGAATTCTCACAGAGAGGCAAATATCATTTGATAGTTCTATAGATATGGAATGGCTATTAAACTATTGCTTAGCTTCAAAGGTTCAATGAATATTTCTCTCCTTGTTTGGAGGTTTAATTAGGTGGTGCAAAAGCATCAAGTCATACCAGATCAGAGATTGTTTGGATGACAAGACTGTCCATATGATGGATGATATATTATTCTGTATAAGGGCAAGATTCGTACTAGTATATAGATACATGTGTGAACATTGCTCAGCTGTAGCTGCAAATTGAAAACAAGCTTCTAACCAAACATCCTTCTAGCAAGTAAAAAAGTACTGTGCTTGGGACATGCTCTAATGTATACAAGATCAATGATAGAAACATAAAAATTGATTATAAAATCAAACATAGATCACTTATAGGTTCTATGTTCAATTCCGCCATGACCGGAATCTCTATTTGTAGTTCATTCTACGAGAAGAAGAAAAAAAATACTATAATGTACACACACAAAAAAATATGTGGTTAGTTACATTTTACCCCCTCAATTATTATTGAATATTAATTTATCCATTTAATTTTAAGGTTATACATTTCACCCCTCAACTATAAATAGTACTTCACTTTCACCACTCCAAAAAGGGATATTTATAAGGGTTTTTTTTTTTTTTTTAGTTTGAGCGAGGTAAAATATAATTAACTTAAAAAAACATTACTATAACTTTAATAGTTGCCTTGATACTATGTGAAACCAATCACAAATGGATCTTTAAGTGAAACAAAGTCAATAAATAAAGTGAATGGGCAGACACAATCAATTATCAACAAAGAAGAAAAAATAGTCGTACAAGTAATCAAATCAAAACCTAAATGAGAAACTAAAATTGTAAACACAAAAGACAAAAAGAAAAAGGGTTCATTAGCAAGATGAACAATTCACACCAAATCTTGACCTTGTGACCAATTAGATGAATGCCGGAGCTTGGAGTTGTGAGAAAAAACACAACTCAATCAATTGTATGGAAATTCCAAATTTTCTCTTCTTTTCTTTCATTTCCTCAAGAATCTACAACTTAACCGATCCAATTCATCGGCCTTGAACCTGAGTATCATGAGCCATTGCCTGCAAACTGGACAGTTCTGCATACATGTCCATGAAAAACTTGTCAACAATGTCGACGTAGGCCGGGCAAGTAAGCCTAGAGTAGTAATGAAGAACCTCTTCAATGTCCAACACATGCTCTATATTGCTCTTGTCCACCATTTCAAGTTCTTTTATTTTTTGTGCAACCAAACAAGTCCTTACCTCTTTTTTACCTTTTGAACATGATGTTAAGCACTCTTCTTTCCTTTTTCCTTCACACCCAAGTCTCTTATTCTTATCCTTTTCCTCCACCATTTCTTCTTCACGATTCTTTTTAGAACCCGACTTCGCTATCTTCGTCAAGCTCCCACTAAAAACTTCTTTTTCACTGTTCGCTCGCGGCAAGTTCATCTCCTTCTCCTTCTTCTTCTTTCTCTTCTTGGCCTTGGCTTTATCGTTATCGCTATCCCATCTATCGGTGAAGTCTATGTAGAACTTGTCTAGTTCTTGATTACTTTGGGTGGGAAAGGGATTGAAGGGAGGGCTCTTGGGAAGTCTTTGGTAGTCACTAGAGAGGAAAGACTTGAAGCTTTTTAGGGTCTTTTGGAAGAACTTCTTGGTGTTGGAAATGGAGGCTCTTAGCATCATTTGGTGTGGTTGCTCTCTAGGGTTTTTTCTGAATTAGATTTTAATGTTTGTATGTGTCTAATTGGCTTTCTATATACAAAGAAGGTTTGTGTGAGTTGGAAAGGAATGGAAGTAGTTTGAACTTACACATAAAAAGTAGAAGAAACAATAATGAAGGATGTGAGCTTTCTCTTTCTGGATTCCACTTTGTATTTTTATGTCTTCCCACGCTCCTTTGTTTCCTGTGTGTTCCCTTCTTGTTTGCTTGATGATTCTCTCTCTCTCTCGCTCTCTCTCTCTCTCTCATGAAAGCACTAAAAAGAGAAAGAGAAAAGCTTGGGAGGATTTGATTATTGTTTAAGATATATGTTGGTTACTTTTACTTTTGGTGATGGGGTTTGGTGTGTAGCCTCTTTAGGAGAATGACAGGAGCGGTTGTTGAATTGGACTCCTCTCTCTCCTCTCTCTCAGATGAAAAGTTAGGTTATTCATTGGATAAGTACAGCATAATCATTAATTGATGTGTCCGTATGATAATAATAGTATAGGTCTGAATGCATCCACGTATAATAATACCAATCAATAGTTATCTAATCAATTTATTCTCTATTGTTTGCAATTTTTGACAGTGAATCTCCAAGGCACACTTACATATACTAATTGATAGAGATACAAGTACAGGTACAGGGGAACTCATCCCAACAAGATTTGCCTGTTTAGTGTATTTGTTTAAATACATTATAAATTATAAATTAAGACTTTTGATGATACCACTAGCCCCTGATGGACGGTTTGGGTTCATCCATGCTTTCCTCACCGTTGTTTGATCACTGGACTTACTAAGATACCTGCACAAAAGTTCAACGGAGGAGTTTTTGTGTGCTTGAAAGTACTGTCATGCCTTGCCTGCACTTTTTTTTCTTTCTTTTTCACCACCAAAAGGGACCTAAAAAACATTTGCTCCTGACTCAAGTAACTAGGCATAGAAGATCTGTAGAGGAGTTTCCTTAGTGGTTGTTGGCCGTGAAGCAAAGATCAACTGTGGTCAATAAACAACTCAACTACAGAGGGGGGTGGACACCGGTGACCCGGAAGAGAAGACCAAGATTCCAACAGATCCACTACAGGGGTGCAGGATTCATCACGGTTTTTGTAGATAATCTGCCGGAATCTATGGTGCCACGAAGTCTATTCAATCTGTTTAGTAACTATGGTGTGGTAAAAGACGTATTCATCCCAAATAAGAGGAGGAAAGCTACTGGTTCAAGATTTGGTTTCGTCCGGTATGACTGTACCACAGCAGCAAGGGTAGCAGTCCAGAAAGCGGATGGAATATGGTGTGATGATAAGAGTCTGAAAGTGAGATTGGCAGAGTATGGAAGCGATGCTCAGTATCCGAAGAAGGCAGAGGTTAGAAAAGGGAAGAGTGTACAGAGCGTACAGGCGGAGCTTTGGACGCACGGTAAAGCAACAACAGGGTCCAATGGTCAAAGATCTTACGCTGAGGTAGTATAAGGTACACGTAAGGAGAATACTGTGATAACCATAGATGTACAAGAAGTTGGAAATGGATGGCTTTATGAAAGTTTAGTTATTACGCTCAAATCCTTCTTCTCTTTTAAGGCTTTCAAAGAAGAATGTAGCACAAGAGGCTTGAAGGAGGTTTGTATAAAGGATGTTGGTGGTCGTTTAGCTCTTTTATCTTTCAAGTTAGTGGCACATCTGAAGGATTGGAAGGGTAGATTAGAGGAGTGGATATATGAGTGGTGTGACTCTATGGACGAATGGGAGAAGGGTAAAAACCTTTCAACAAGAAAGGTGTGTTTGGCGGGTTTGTCAAGGCATTCCTCTTAATCTCTGGAATGTTGGCACATTCAAGGCGGTGGGTAACATTTGGGGAGAAGTCGTTCAACTGGATGAAGCCACGAGTTCTTTGGAATCATTAGCGAGCGGCAAAGTGAGGATCATAACTCGTAGGTGTGAGTTCATTAATCAAGTCATCATGCTAAATTGCAACGGGCAGTAACACCCGGTAAGAGTGATTGAAGAGTCATTTTTTCCGGATAGTCTAAGATCGGGGGAATGCAGGTATCAGCCTCCTGGGGGTTTACCTTCCAGTTCCGGCAGTCAGAGTGCCATGAATTCCGGTGATAAAGAGGATAGGGTGGAGGTAGGCATGGAAGGTGGTAGTAGGTCTGACGAGGCAGAACCTAATGAGTTGGTAAGCATAGTGCAAGACACAGTTGAGGGGACTGCACACTGTATGGAAGAAAGGGATAGGAGGGTGTTTCGACCCAGGGTAGGGGTGTCAGGAGCTGGCATGGAAAATTCAAAAAAAGGGGACGGAAGTCATGATGATGCTCTGAAGTGTGTAGGCGAAGTTTCAAAAGAGGTGATAGGGCAGCCTCAATTTCTAGTCGGAAGCAATCACACGGATGGGTTTTTGATGAGCATTAGTGGGCCTGAAATTATAAGGCCCAATTTTAATTTGGAAGTAGTGATTCCCAGAGCCCAAGTTGAAGCTGGCCTTGCTAGGCCAGCTGGGCTTTCTTTATCTAATTTGAGTGACTGTGTGGCAAGTTCACAGCTCCTCGCCGAGAGAGCCCAAGTATGTATGCAGAAGGGTGAGGGCAGGGCAGATCAGGTTAGGGGGGAATTTGCTTCTATCTGCAAAGGAAAAGTTGCAGTAAGGAAGAGTAGTACAGCCAAAAAGGGTGGTTCGGCTATCCAGCAGGGCAGAATTCTACCTCAAAGCTTTAGCAGGGGGGCCATTTTCAGAGCTACAGCTGCTGCAAATTCCAGCTCTCACTCGGCTTTACATGAATCAGGCAGGAAGAAGGGTTATCTGATGAAGGAGGCCGAAGCAACAATACAACTTGGGAAGACGTTAGGCATTGATTTCGGTGGTAAGGAGGATATCGTGGCAAAACAGATTGTTCAGTTGGAAACTCGAGATTTGGAGAGGATTTCAGAAGGGGCTCGGGCAGATGAGGTCTGAACACCCAGCGTAGGAGTATAGGTGCTCTGAAGTCTGTCTTATGAAGATACTGTCATGGAATGTGCGTGGTCTATGTAGGCCAGAGAAAAGGAGTAAAGTTAGAAGCATTTTAAAAGAAAGAGGGGTGGATGTGGTATTATTTCAAGAAACCAAGAGAAGTAATATGGAGGTTAAGTTCATCAAGTCTGTTTGGCCTTTCGATAAAATGGAGTATATGGAAGCAGATGCCGATGGTAGGGCCGGAGGGTTACTATGCATCTGGCACCCTGACAGATTTAAGGTTGTTGATTGTTGTGGCTCCAGAAATTTCATCATTTTATCAGGTATTTGTGGTCAGTCCTTTGAATGCACGGTGGTGAATATCTATGCTCCCAATGATGTGGGTAAAAGAAGTCAATTGTGGGAATCTCTAAAGAGTCTGAAAATCTCCTACCCGAATCCCTGGTGTTTGGGTGGGGATTTTAATGAGATTAGATTCCTCAGCGAAAGGAAGGGATGCTCCAGAAGGGAAAGAGGTATGAATGATTTTAATGAGTTGATTGATCAGTTGAATCTTGTTGACTTGCCCATGAAGGGTAGAAGATTCACGTGGTGTAATGCTCTTGACGGGGAAAGATGGAGTCGGATAGATAGGTTCCTCTTGGAGGGTAGATGGCTTGAGCAGTTTTCCTTCAAGCAGTGGGGACTGCCAAGAACGGTTTCTGACCACAGTCTAGTCATGATAAAGGAGGATGAAAGGAATTGGGGCCCAAAACCTTTCAAATTTATCAATGCTTGGCTACTCCATCCTGATTTCATATCAGCAGTGAAGAGCTCTTGGGAGGTTCAAGTACAACAGGGCTGGGCGGGGTTTTAGATTGTTGAGGAAGCGTGCCTCTCTCAAAGCCAGTCTTAGAAGATGGAATGTTGAGGTGTTTGGCCATGTGGAAACAGATCTCAAGAAAGCGGAAGAGATTTACACGCTTTTGGATTTGGTGGCTGAAGAAAGAGCATTGTCAGAAACAGAAGCAAATTCAAGGAGAGTAGTTAGGGGGCTAGTCTGGAATCTGCATAGAAGGAAGGAGAGTTTGTGGCATCAAAAATCTAGAATGCTGTGGGCTAATGTGTGGGGACAAGAATACTAGGTTTTTCCACTTGATGGCTAGCTCAAGGCAAAGAAGAAACTCCTTGATTCAGTTGTGGTTGATGGGGTTGGAGTGGTGGAACCTAACCCAATGAAGCTAGCTGTTCATAGTCATTTTTTTGAAATTATTCTCTGAGTCGTGGAGTTCTAGCCTAAGCTTCTTGGCCCTTTTGCATCTATCTCTTCTGCTCGGCAGGTAGAATTTTTAGAAGCAGGTTTTTCGGAACAGGAATTTGGGCTGCAGTTAAAGATTGTGATGGTAACAAGGCCCCGGGCCCGGATGGTTTTAGTTTGACCTGTTTCCAGAAATGCTGGAACATAATGAAGGGTGAAGTTCTTCAATTTATGGATGAGTTTCACTCTAATGGGAAGATTGTCTCAGGTCTTAATAGCTCTTTCATCTACCCTCATTCCCAAACGGGCGGATCCTCGTGAGTTAAGTAATTTCAGGCCCATTAGTCTCGTTAACTCAGTTTACAAAATTCTTGCAAAAGTGCTATCAAAAAGGTTGAAAAGAGTGTTGCCAGGAATTATTAGTGAAGTTCAAACAGCTTTTTTGGTGGCAGATCTATTCTTGATGGTGTTTCGATCGCGAATGAAGTAGTACATTGGTGGAAAGCTGCAAAAATGAGAGGCATCATTTTAAAGCTAGATTTCGAAAAGGCATATGATTCAGTTAATTGGAGTTTCTATTATCTATGATGAGGAATTTCGGCTTTGGGGAGAAATGGTTGGGCTAGATCAAATCATGCCTCTCATCATCTAGAGTATCCGTCCTAGTTAATGGATCTCCAACAACAGAATTTGCTCCTCAGAGAGGGCTCCGACAGGGAGATCCACTATCCCCTCTTTTGTTCAACATTGTAGCTGAAGGTTTGAACATTTTGATTGAAAGAGCAAAGGAGTTGGGTTTGGTTAAAGGAGCTTCTGTGGGCCTTCTGAGGTGAAATTTCTCATCTGCAATTTGCAGATGATTCAATAATATTCTGCGAGGCGGCAGAGGTGAATTGGTGCACATTAAGATAATTTTGCGCTGCTTTGAGGTGCTTTCCGGCTTAAAGATTAATTTCCACAAAAGCTTGTTGTGTGGCGTGGGTTTACCTGACGGTGAGGTTAACCAGTTTACCTCCATCTTCAATTGCCGTAGTCAAAAGCTCCCTTTTAGTTATTTGGGTCTACCTTTAGGAGCCAACCCCAGTAGAA